GGAGGAGGGGGAGGAGAAGGAGGGCCGGAGCTGCCCCCGCCCAACCCCAGCCCGGCAGGAGCGCGAGGAAACCTTAGCCCTGCCGCGCCGCGCCGCTCTCCCCGCCCTCTCCGCACGCCTTCCGCCTTCACCTAGGGCCGTAGGTGCGGCGCGGGGCTGGGCGCTAGCTGGCCGCGGCTGGAGCAGCGCTGCCGAGAGCCGGGAGCCGGGAGCCGCCGCCGCGCGCGCCCGCGCGGAATCCCCGGGTCTCCGTTCCGCCGCCGGGAACTGCGGGGAGGCGACATGTAGCAGCGGCTGCGGCAGAACCACTTCGTATTTGCAACTCTTTTTTTTTTTTTTTGAGGGGCGGGGGGCGCGGCAAAATTGTATCTCCGCCCTCGCTTTCTTGCCTACTCCCGTGCGCAAGCTGCATCTGCCTCTAAAAATTGAGGGGCTTGGGGGAGGGCGGGGGGCCGTAAATCAGAGTTGGACCGGCACTGCCCCCGCGCCTGGAGGGCCACCATGACCGAGGAGAGCTCCGAGGTTCCCAGGGAGCTGACAGGTAAGAGTGGCGCGGCCGCGGGCTTCGCTCCTCGCCTTCCCCCTGCCCTCCTCCGCCTTCCCGCAGGTCCCGCGAAGTCGCGGCGCCCCTCAGGTCGCCGCCGTGCTGGGCGGGGCGCCGGGAACTTTGCTCGCGTCTCGCCGCCTGGAAAGCCCAGTTCGGGGAGGGCGGCCGTGGGGGGCAGCGGGGGCCCCGGAGTCCGGGGCGCCTCCCCAGCCGGGACCCGGGGTGGGGGGAAGGTCGCGGTGGGCGGAAGAGAGGGGAGGGCTGCCTCGGGCTTGGGAGTTCTGGAAGCGAGGAGCACCCTGTACAGCGACCAGCCCACCGCCCCAAACTCGGGGAAGTCCGGGAAAGGCCAGCGCGGGGCCAGGGGGCGAGCGCCCAGTGGGTCGTCTCCGGCACCTGCCCCGCCGCAACCCTCCCCCTCCGGGCGAGGTGCTCCTCCCCGCCCCCCGGCGAGGTGCTCCTCCCACACGCAGCCTCGGGGGAGGGGGCGCTAGTCTGGAGTGCCGACTGAGCGGAGCGAGGCTTGGCTTCGCCCAGCCGGCGGGGAGCGAAAGGGTTACAGGAGTGACGCATGCTCGGGCCGGGAAACTGAGGGTTAATGGTACAAGCTTATTTTAATAATAATTAACCTACTGACTCTCCCCATCCCTCATCTCGGGGAACCAGTGTGCAAGGTGACCAGTTGTTTGAGTCCCTTGAGGTTTTTTTTTTATTTTTATTTTATTTTTTTGGTGTGTGGGTGTGGGGGGGCGGGTAGTTGGGCTGGATTTTATGTCTTGGGGTTTAACTTAATTATGTGGAGGGTTAAAATGGCAGAGTTAAAATGAGGTGGGGATGAGTGTTTGAAAACCCAGCGTTTAAGCGTGTGTGTATGTAGAACACGTTGTATTTTAACAAGGTGTGTGTGTCTCAGCGCGCGTGTTTTGAGCCCTGGGGACCTGTATTCCTTACTGTACCATCCTTGGCACACTACACAGAAAGATGCTGTGTAATCGGGGCTGACAGCAGGAGGGAGTTCTGCCTGCGCATTCATCTGCACTTGAGAAATTTGCCCCTTGGTTTCTCCTCTTAGCCATAACACTTTGGAAGAGTTGTGTGTCCTCTTCCATTAGTACCTAACTCAGCAGGTGACACTTGATGTGAAGAAGGTGTTGCTAGGTTTGTATGAAAGCTTCAGCTTTTGTTATATTAAAAAAAACAAAACAAAACCAAAAAAACCCAATCCTTACTTTTCACCCAAATTTAGGATATGAAGTTACCGCCCCCTTCCCCCACTCTGGCTTCTTCTCTCTCCCCAACCCTGTGGAGTCGGCTGCTGAGATAAAGCATCAGCTGCCTTTGCTGGAGTGAGTGGCCCATCCGGTTCTGGGAGGCTCAGGTCTTCCCAGCACCCTACCCGGAAGAGGAAAGAATGCCCAGAGTCTCTGCAGATGCCTCCCAAGGTCCTGCGAAAGTTTGGGGGAGGGCTGGCCTCCCTGGCCAGGGGAGGAGGATGGCCAAAGAGGTGGGCAGATTTTTAAGTTAGTTGACCTTGAGCCCGGTAATGAAAAGTTAGGTAGTTACTCAGACTTGAGAGAGGAGAGGGATGGAAATAAGATACCTGGTTTATGTGAATGGTTCTCAAAATAAGTCCTTTGGTATGTTTGAAAAAATCGATTTAATCCTTATCTAGACATGGAATTTGTGTGTTTATTGAGTCTTGCCCAGCTCGCATATCCTTCAACCAAGTGACACATGTTTTTGTGACATGCCCAGTATGATTTTTCTGGGCCTTTAAATGGCCTAATTAGCCTGGGACAGGGGAAATTCCTGCACCTGCTTTTCTCTAATTTCAAGTGCTCACAGAGTTACACTCAGATCAGTGCAAAATGGCAGCCATGTGAAAACCTCAGTGTATTCCCTTAAGCTAATCCCCGAAGACGGAAAAAAATGCGGTGCGTATCTCTCTGATAATGAAAGAAATACAGGTTTTTATGAAGAATTTTAAACGCTAAGAAGAATGAGAAGACTATCTGTCAACCGTATTACCTCCTTGAGATAGCTACTTTTAACCTTTTGGTGTAAAACTTTCCAGTCCTGTTCCACGTGTGTATGTTCTTACTGTTTTTTTTTCCAAAAATGTATTTATTCTAGAGAGAGCACGAGGCGGAGAGGGAGAGAGAATCCTAAGCACACTCCACATCCAGTGCAGAGCCTGACGCGGGGCTGATCCTGCTACCCGAGATCTTGACCCCACCTGAGCCAAAACCAAGAGTGGGGGGGTTCAGCCGACTGCACCATCCAGGCGCCCCTCTTAAGTCTGTTTCTGATGTTCCTTTCCCACATGCCTTTTCAAGGGGGGAGGAGGAGTAGCCTTTATCTGTTTTGAGCTCTGATAAGATAGGAGCTGCATAGAGAACTCCCAGCACAGTGAGGTCGCCCACTTGTCCCCTTTCTTCCCAAAACGTCCCACCTGGTTGCTGGTCCCCCCACAAGCTGCACTTTCTCTTGTTTCCATTCTCTTCTCCATGTGGGCGACGCTCTTCCGTCTTCTTCGCTCTTACCTAACAGCAGCTCTAAACTTTTGTGGTGGGTTTCCAATAAGTATATTTGATTACCGCTTCGTAAACATACTTATTTGCTTAACTACATATATACTTCATTTATAATTTAAAACATAAACTGGAGTACATGGCAGATAGAAGTAAAAATTCTATTTTCTTCCTCCACCTCGGTGGATTATATGGTACACTGTACTTCGGACTCGTGGCCTCTGTCCTGCTTTAAGATTCTGCTCAGGGGTCCCTTCCTCCCTGAAACTTTCGGGAATCTCCTTGTCCATGATCTCTTGGTAGTGAGTGTGGATTTGCCTAGAGGCATTTATCTGTGTTCTCTAGGTCATAAGCACCTATGAAAGGCAGAGGCTGTCTGTGTCCCAGCACCTAGTGGAACCCTTGGCATACAGGAGCTCCTCCTGTGTCCATATATTTGTTGAATATATGAATAAGCCAAGATGATTATAATACAGAATACAGAGCTTCGGAAGTGGAGAGGAGGTTGCCATATATATATATATTTATTTAAAGATTTTATTTATTCGTTTGACAGCAAGAGTGGGAGAGAGCACAAGCAGGGGGAGCGGCAGGCAGAGGGAGAAGGGGAGGCAGACTCCCCGCTGAGCAGGGAGCAAGCCTGACGCGGGGCTCCATTCCAAGACCTTGGGATCATGACCTGAGCCGAAGGCAGATGCTTCACCGACTGAGCCCCCCAGGCGCCTGAGGTTGCTATATTTGGAAGTAGAACGTAACCAGGAGGAGACTCGGGAAAGGGCATCCCAGGAAAGAGAATATACGTACAGAATCCTGGGGGTGTACAGGATGGAGATAATGGGGATGATTGGATTGTTAAGTGTGTGTGTTGAGAAGTTAAACTGAAAAAACTGTGGAAGACCTTGAGTGGCCTGCTAGAGGGTTGAGGTTTATCCAAAAATGAAGCAACTCATAGAGCAAGAGTGATGTGATCAGACCTGTGATTTTTGGAGGGTCCCTTTGGTAAGGGAGGGACAGAGAGCTGATAAGTGGGACATCATGGACTTGTCTTGGGGAGAGATTCTAAGCCCTTGAATGCGGGGGTCAAGCCCAGGGGAGTCGGGAGCTGTTTAGGAGGTAGTTCTAGGAGAGTGGGTGACTGGCTTCCTATCTGATAGGAAACAAAATTTCTAGCTTCGTTAGTGGCCAGAGGAGTGGGGAGGAGAATGAGTTTGATTTAGGACCTGTTCCATTTGGAGCACTCCCTGGAGTCGTTCCTGCCACCATCCAGATTTTGAAGTCTCCCCCTCTCTCTTGATTCCTCCTTTCTTGTTGTCTTTGACCAGTCATTGGGGGTGTCGTGCTGTGATGTCTTCGGAAGGACAGATGGCCAGGATCACCCTTCCCTGGCCAAATTGTCCAGTCTGGTTCTGGTTCTTTGCCATATTTCCCAACTGCGATGTCAGGCACTCCTAGAAAATGGTAATATTTCTATGCCACTGTGATGAACACAGAGGCTGCTAGGGGCCAGAGGCCAAGGGAGTTTTTGAATTCCTATTGTGCTTACGGTCTGCATGCAACACAGGCCTCCATGAACCTTCCTGATTGTTGCTCATGTTTTGTCTTGTGTATGCATCCACTTGCCCAGCGAGATTATATTGTGCCTTGTATGAACTGGTATTAGGTCACATGCTTTTATATTTGCCTCTGCATCTGATCACACAGTACAATGCACATAGTAGGTGATCATAAACTATGCGGTGACTGATAGCTATCAGGCTTGTTAAAACAAACTAAAAAAAAAAAAACGACAAACCACAGTAATAAAAACAACCAAAAATACTCCTTCAAATGTTCTTCTCTCTCCAGTGTTTTTTTCTTATTAATAAAAGAATATAATGAAACTCTTTCCTTCTTTCAGAAAGCATAAAGGATGTTATTGGCAGAAAGATAAAAATTGCAGTGAAGAAGAAAGTAAAGTTGGAAGTTAAGGGAGACAAAGTTGAAAACAAAGTGCTGGTAAGTATTTTCGTTTCTTACAATGTTTGGAAGTGAAAGTGTTTTTCTCTCCATTGTTTTGATTGCTTAATTTCCTTGAAACTCAAGTGCTGTGTTTCATATTTTGCTGGAAAGTTCTCAGGGCCATTTTGTCCTGGATTAATTGGAATATCTGCCCGTTGAAAGGTAACAGTAGGATATTTACATTTTTGAGATGGAAGTTATTTCTTAAAATTGTCCCAGTCACCCACACTGAGGTCATCTCCTACAGCCTGTTTTCAAATTATTCGATTTGATGTGAAATGGAGCTTATTTATAGTTAATCTTTGTTGTGGCTGGTTGTATGATTTCATTTGTGAGGACTCAGGGGGGAGTTTAAAAAATTCATCTCATGTTGGTTTAAGTAGGTAAATGTTCTCAGACGTTATATTGGAGTCCATCTCAAGGCGAAGAAGACGCCTGTTATTTCATGGGACATTTGGTGTTTTGAAGGGAAATGGCTGGTGCAGGCATTTTATCTGCTGAGATTGGATTTGGGGTCCCCCAGCGTGTGGGGGAGCTGTTAGGGGCCCAGGGGTTGGACCATGTTGGGCACAGAGTGGGGGAGGGCATCGTCAGTTATTGGACTATAGCTTTAGAGAGGTGAGGAGCCTTGTGGTATTATAGTGGCTCTTAGGTTGAGATTGTGGCAAACCTAGATTTAGCCTTAGGGGAGTACACCTTGTTTGTGTTTTTGTTGGAGAGAATATTCTATTTATCTTTTTATCATTGGCCATTTTCAAACATATGCAAAAGTAGAGATTAGCATATTGAACCCCGTGTGTGTTCATCCAGCTTAAACAGGTTTTCGTGTTTTACCAATATTGTTGATCTCCCCACTGTTTCCCCCCCCCCTTCTTGGAGTTTTTTAAAACATCCCAAGCCCCTGTCATTGAAAGAGAATATTTTTAATATTCTGTTTCTTCAGTTGAATTTGCCACAGAATCGCAAGTGTCTTTCTGATAACATCTGTCTTGAGAATCTTTTAGAATATCTGAGTGCCTTCCCCTGTAGATGGAAGGATTATGTTGTTGGTGGACGACTTCTCTTTCTCTGTGGTCCTTGTGTACAAGTCAGGATGGCAGAGAAATCGAAGTGGAAAACTTGATGGAGGGGCTTTGGCCCTGTGACAAAGTGTGTTCATGTAGCCTGCATTATTAGGGTTACCAAGAGCAGAATCAATGGGTGCCATCATTCTGATTTATTTTGCTTTAATAAAGAGTAAATTCCCTTAGAGTATATGTTACTCAATGTTATAGGATAGTGGTATTTTGGGGAGGTGGTAGAGGAGAGAGAAGACATTTTGTTTCCGCTGTTTGTTGTTTTATACATTTAAAGTAAATCTTTACATAGATGGATCCACCTTTATCTTACTAAGTTGTCATTGTCAAGTAGTGTTTGCTACAACCATCTGACCTGGTGTGTGGTATTATTTGGTATGGATACTGTTCATCATACTAGGAAGGAGCCCATGCCATGAGTAAAATCTACAAAGTGAAAATTACAAAGACAAACTTAAGTGTCCAATATAACAAAATTAGCATCATTTCCAAATAGTTATGATAAGTACTTAATGTTAAGGACCCTCCCCCATACACCCCAACCCCCCCAGCTCCCCACTCATCTCAACATAAGCTGGAGTTAAGGTTGTAACCAAATTTTACACGTCTTTGTATGTAAGCATTTATTTTCCCAAATCTGGAACCTAAGTAGTTTCTGATAATTTGGCATAAACTTGTTTTGGCTTTTCCTTACATGTTATGGACAGGAATTATTAATTGAAATACTCGGAGTCTGACAATCTTTTTTTTTTTTTAAGATTTTATTTATTTATTCATGAGAGACAGAGAGAGAGAGAGAGAGAGGCAGAGGGAGAAGCAGGCTCCCAAGGAGCAGGGAGCCCGATGCGGGACTCGATCCCATGACCCTGGGATCATGACCTGAGCCGAAGGCAGACGCTTAACCATCTGAGCCACCCAGGCGCCCCGGAGTCTGACAATCTTAATAGAAATATTCAGGTCGGAGCAAAATGGTTAGTGACAAACTGACCTTCACGTTGTTGATTTTGGAGTTTCTGGATTGAGAGAAGTTCAATTACTTAAATGAAAACACTGGGGGAAATTTCTGACTTTCTTTGCCTGTCAGTCCACTAACATCGGTAGTAAATGAGTTGGTTTCATACTTCAATATATCTTGTTTCAGTTTTCTTTCTTTTCTCACAGTGCCTGCTCTTAGCGTCCTTCCTTATAAGGCTGGGAGTGTGTGTGTTATATGTCATTTAGTCCCCTCTTTTTACAGTGGAGACTTTATATGATTTGTAGCTTATCTTCGGTAGAGGGTTTATCTTCATCTTCCTTCTACTCATGGTAGCTAATATTTATTTATTTATTTTTTTTTTAAAAGATTTTTATTTATTTATTTGAGAGAGAGAATGAGAGAGAGAGAGAGAGAGAGAGCGCATGAGAGGGGGTTGGGTCAGAGGGAGAAGCAGACTCCCTGCTGAGCAGGGAGCCCGATGCGGGACTCGATCCTGGGACTCCAGGATCATGACCTGAGCTGAAGGCAGTCGCTTAACCAACTGAGCCACCCAGGCACCCGCTAATATTTATTGAACATTGACCAAGTGCTAGGCTCTTTGCCCAACACTTAATTATGCATTACCTTATTCAATCTCACAGCAACTCCGTGAGGTGAGGTAGGCACTATTTACATCTTTATTCAGATTTGGAGAGGCTAAATAAATTGCTTCAGCTCATTTAGCTAGTTAATGACAGCTGGGATTTGAACCCACATCTGCCTCACTCAGAGCCTGTTTCACCATTATTTTTTTTAAGATTTTATTCACTTATTAGAGAGAGGGAGAGCATGAGTGGGGGAAGGGGCCAAGGGAGAGGGAGAAGCAGACTCCCTGCTGATCAGGGAGCCCAACATGGGGCTCGATCCCAGGACCCTTAGATCATGACCTGAGCCGAAGGCAGACGCTTAACTGACTGAGCCACCCAGGCGTCCCCTGCTTCACCATTATTCTCCAAATAAAAAGAAAATATCTTTTGGCTTGTTGTTCACTCTGTCACTGAATGATCAGGAAGATTTGGACCTTAGAAGGATCAGGAATCCTTGTGTTTATTTGGTTGATCGATTGATTTATACATAATTTCCAGACTGATTGAGCACGTCCTGTGTGCCATGCCTAGTGCATGCACAAGACTTCATGTATCCAGAGCCCACAGTCTCGCTGGGGAGGTAAACATGTCAGGGGGCCGTGCTTTGAGCTGTGCTATGAGCAGAATGACTGGGGGGCGGTCATCACAGCACATCAGAGGGACCCTAGACTCAGGCTGGTGCATCAGGGAAGAGTTCTTGAAGGAAGGCAACCCTAAGCTGACAATGAGTAGGAGTAGGAGTTGCCAAGGGGAGAGAGGAGAGACGTGTTGTGGACAAAGGGAACAGAATAAACCTGGAAGCCAGAAGGGGTTTACATGTTAGAGAAAACCTCCGCAGAAGTAGGGGCTGGAGCAGGTGCAAAGTGGAGAGTGGCCAGGCATGGAGGGGATGCCTGTCCTTGCTATTATCAGGTGAAACTGGGACTGGTTAAAGAGGTCTCTTCTCACCACCTGTTTCTAATAACCTTTCCGTGCACTTTATCCTCTGGTGTCCAGGGAGGCAGTAGGGTTCAGTGGTTAAGGACTTGGGCCCTGGAGTCACACCTGAGTCACACTGCAGCCCAGCCGCTTTATAACATTGTGAAGCCTCCTTCCTTTCGCTAATGAAACAGGTGTGCAACAGTATCTGTTTGTTCCTGGCTGCTTTGAAGATTAACTGGGATATGTTTTAATATGGCTTGGTGCAATGCCCAGCATGATAAACAGCCACCGAATGATAAAGCAAGAGGAACCGAGAGATCCTGCCTTGTTTTCCAAGTGGCACCGAAAATGCCACTCCAGATACCCGAGCATCTCTTGCCCTTATTTATTTATTTATTTATTTATTTATTTATTTATTTATTTATTTTTAAAAGAGTTTATGTATTTATTCATGAGAGACAGGGGGAGAGAGAGAGAGAGGGAGAAGCAGCCTCCCAAGGAGCAGGGAGCCCGATGCGGGACTCGATCCCAGGACCCTGGGATCATGGCCTGAGCCGAAGGCAGAGGCTTTAACCATCTGAGCCACCCAGGCGCCCATCTCTTGCCTTTATTGAGGGGTTGAGTTCAGTTCACCATAAGGCCAAGAAGAATATTTAGAGCTATGTCTCCTTTTCAGCAGGATGGAGTGCAACTGACCAGATCCGAAATTGTGCAGGTAGGGCTCTGGTCACATGGAATCAGAAATGCTAGGATGTGCAGGGGGCAGGGAGATCTGTGGTCACATTCATGTGGCAATCAGGGTGTTGAAGATAAACCAGTGTCTTTCCTATATGGCTTTTCAGAGCCATTAATACATCGATGCGCATGGTTGATTCCTAAGCATGAGCTGGACTGTGCTTTCTCAATCTTACTTGGCCAGAGACCCTAATGACTGTAGGTTAGGAAACCAGGGTGGAGCAGACCTGAGCTGGGGCCTCTGGGGACAGTTAAAGGGAAGCTAGAAGAGGCTGGAACAGGCTGTCCATCCTTAGGACTGCTCTCCTAGGGTACGGTCCCCAGTACTTTTTATCTAAGTGGCGGGCGGGTCCGCTGAAGGCCACACACTGGTACATGTCATCTGTTGCTACAATACCTTCTCTCTTGTCCGTAGGGCATGTCACCAGGAAGTGATTTTGTCTGTCTTAGACTCTTACTCCATTTTCTCATTTGCTAGTTGAATCTTTATCCAATTTTTGTGGTACCTGGACTTTTATTTACTTATTTATATTTATTTGTTTATTTAAAGATTTTTATTTATTTGAGAGAGTGAGCGAAGGGGCACAAGCAGGGGGAGCGGCAGGGGGAGGGAGAAGCAGGCTCCCCCCCTGAGCAGGGAGCCCGACGTGGGGCTCACACCCA